TTCTAATGATTTTTATAATCAGTAATAATAATATTGAACTCATTATATAAACAAATTAATCGCAAAATTAATTGTTTTATTTTGTATCTATTATTTTCCTTTGATTTTCTTGTAAGGCTTAAAATTTTTTAAATTTAATTTTATTTCATTTTAATATAATTTTTATAATAAAGTTTTGCATTAATTTAAGTATAAAAAATACAACAACAAATATATTTCAACAATTATTTAATAAAATATACAAATATTAAACTTTATTCAATACGATCTTATATGGCTTCGGGTATTGAAACTGTATGGCAGTGTCCGGATTGGGCTCCAGGTCTACGTCATCGGCGGACACGTCTTTGGGTAACGATATATCGTAACCACTCGTGGATTGAATGAATCGGACAATAATCAAAAAGAGGTTATTGAGGGCCAACTTCTCGCCCAAACACCTTCTTTGACCGATACTGAAGGGTATGAACGCCGGCGGACGTACTCTCAGGTACTGGTGATTGTCCGACAAAAACCTTTCCGGTAGAAACACTTCGGGCTTTGACCACAGTTTCGGGTCATTCATGATGTGGTGCTGATGGACGACCACCAGTGTGTTGGCCGGTAGTGTCAGCTCATCTAAAACAGGTGTCAAATGTGAATTAATAACTTTAAACACTAGCTATAAAATTCAACTCAAATTACCTAGTTCAATTTTTTGGGTAGTCTTATGGGGGACACCGAATGGCAGCACTGGTCGGAAACGAAGTGTTTCCGATATGAATGCGTTAATATAGTGACAGTCGTTGATATCTCTGGGCTGTGGCTCCCGGACACCGATCACGTCCTCCACCTCTTGTCGTAGTTTTCGCTGAACGTCCGGATACTTACACATCAATAGTAGCATCCATTGGACAGTGATCTGAGTGGTGTCGACGCCGGCAAACAACAGGTCCCATAGGGAACAGATCAGACTCTAAGACAGCAAACAATGCAAAACACAATTAAACACAATATAAAAACAAGTAAAACAATATAAGTATTGCTCACATAATTGGAGAGATAGGCCGCCGACTCCTTTCCCTGACTGCGGGCCTCATTGCGGGCGGCGATCAACGCGTCGGTAAAGTCGCGGATCAGTCCCTCCTCGTAGGTCTTCTCGTGGCGTTTAAACTGACCGATCATATAGTGTTTGTATTGGCGGAAGATTTTGTACATTTGTCTCAACTCCGGCACAAACAGTAGGCCAGAGATGGGTATGAATTGTATGATAAGCCCTCGGTTTCCGAAGTCAAACATTGTTTTGGTGATACTCTCCAGACGTAGAAACTCCGGATCATTGAATGTGTATCTGAAATGGCAATCAATACAAAAAACACAACGAGATAGAAATCAATCGTTAACAGCAATTATGAAAACTTTTCCTAATTAATGATATGTTTAGACAAATTTTTTATATAGCTTTATAACAGACAAACACACATACAATGTTTGACGCGTCTAATAGCCTTATATAAGATATTTAACGATATAATATTTTTTTGGTTAAACAATCTTGAGCTAAAGTGTGTGTTTAAAAAATATTCACTATCAGGCATCGTATCGACCCTTAAATTTATAGATAGCTAAAACTTTTAAGCTAAAAGTTTTAATAAAATAAAAATCACTAACTTTTAAATATTATAAAATAATAAACGAGTAATAAAAGCATTAATATTTTTCTAAATAAAATACACAAATGTGGACAAACTTTTTGCCAAACACTGAATAGCATATAATGTTATAGAGTGTGAGTTGAATATAGTTGACGGGAGAAAAAGGCTGTCCGACGCCCTCTCTGTCCAGCATTAAGCCGACGATATCGTCGACGAGTTCGCACGTGACGGACGCGAACCGGTCTTCGGTCGCGTACTTACGGACCGCCGAATGGGTTATATTCCGCAGACATCGCCAACTCTTGCCGTAATCGGCAAACAATACGTCAGTTCCCCGAGAATTGCAAAACATTTTTACTGTTATAATGTATGACAAAATTGTTTTATAAAGTTTTTAAAACTAGTTTTATAACTGATTTACTGAATGGTATTTGAGGTCTGCCGGCGAACGCACTCGTATTGAACGCCTTTTTAGCCAAATCCAAGTCGTGGATGAAAACTGTGGGATTGTTTCCCAACCAAAACGTATAGACCGGACCGTATTTTTTGCTCATTTCATTTATGGCGACCAACGGGTGATGTTTCGTACCCTTTAAGCCTGTTTTGAGATTATTGTAATTTATTTTAATTTCATAAATTGCACACATAATTGTAAATATGATAACAATTTTAACACATTATAAATGATTATAATATCTATGGGACACTCACTCCAGACATTTCCGAGCACTGGTATAGGTGTGGGTCCTTTCGGGTACTTAACGAGTCGTGAATAATAATATTTTAGATATAATAATAAATAGATGAATAAATAACAGAATATAATGATCACAAATTCAAACATTGTATTGACTCGAGTTATATCATGTATTTACAGAATATTCACACAAAACAATTGATTGAAACAAATATTAATTACACAGAAATCTGTGCGATTTCATGAGCGGAGTGTTTGCTATCAATTGACTGATACCTGAAGTTTATCCCAAACATCACACATAAAATCCATACAAACTTTTGAGACATATATTTACTGTAAAAACCGAAAGCATTTTTCGCAACCGAAGGACGCAATCAATTAAGTGAATGGATAGTGAAAAATATAATCTTAATAACAGTTTTAATATTAAACAAACATAGGATTTGAGATATATATGTAATTGAGGACTGGATTTATGCGAATTGTGTTTCCCATTATCTAAGAGTTAATCATTACATTTATAATTGAAGGGCTAATATAACAGCACATATGGGGGTATGGGATGTGTGAGTGCTTTCTTGGAGTTGCCGTAAAACAAATTTTCTCTTAATTTGATAATAACTTAATTCAAGTGAAAACATAACGTAAACTCCTTGAACCTCATGAACACACTGTCTGTACGCGAG